AATATGTTTCCTTTCTCAGCTGCTCTTTTGTCAATCAGTCACTGATCTCACTGTCTCCAGGACAATGGCAATGAAGTTTCTCTTTGTTCACACTGCATGTGACCGAGAGGAAGGGTCTGCGTCCTGAGATTGCGTCTGTGTGTGTGTCTCATCTCATGAGTGTGTGCATTTTCTTCTTGTATCTAACAAGTGTGTGGTCACATCTTGTGTGTGTGTGTGTGCGTCCATTCACGTGCTGTGTTTCCCTGGATTGGTGTGTGTGTGCTTATGTGTGCTCTTGGCTTCCTTGTGTGTGTGCAAGTGTGTGTCACCCATAGAGGACAATAGCCTGGGTCATCTGACTGAGAGGCTGCAGACCACTCGTATCACATGACAGAGGCTGAAGGCCACGTCTTTGTTACCAGGCCTATTGTTAAAGCTAAGGAGACAGCTGGGACAGGGGAAGGGAATCACTGCATGCACAACACACACACACACACACACACACACAGGAAAACCAAACACATGCACGCACACACACACACACACACGCATACGCCGCCCCTCGTGACTCCAATCAGGCTCAGTGACAAAGATGATGCCTTCTTCTCAACTGGAATACTAAGACACACACTGTCAAACACGCACCCACACACACACACACACACGTTGCAAGCAGATAGCTATAATTATATTGACAGAAACTGGCAGGTGGCATTGTCTGTAGCACACCGCTCTCTGTAAAGCAGCTACACACACAGAGAGGAAGACTTAGTTACTTAATGCTCATACCTTCTTAATGCCATTGAGTGACAGCAACAAAAGAGTGTGTGTAGATTATGAGCTTAGGTGTGTGTGTGTTTAACCTTGTTTTCTAAAAATGTATGTTCATTTTCCTGGCCCCTATAACTTTTAAGTTCTGTTTAGGCATCAAAAGCTCCCGGTAAGGGAAAGATCCACATCTTGGTAAATTTTTTTAGATATTTATCATTTTGACAAAACGCATTAATATAAATGTTTCAATAGCCTTCAGCTAACAGTATGTCGCAGGATGCCAATCCCAGTCTCCAGTGTCAGAACCTTAAGCTTTGTATGCCCATCCGCCCACACTGACCTACTCAGCAATGTCTTTGGCAAAGCACATCGACACATTGTGAAGGAGACAAGGTTGCAGCTAGCTGTGGTCCAATGGAAATTGTTTCGATACATTATATAAGAAAGTCTTTAGTTCTGAACTGGTTGTTTTATGTATAATTCTCATGTGCTTTGGTACCCTCTCTTAATATAGTTTAGGGGGTCTCAAAAATAATTGGATAGACAAATAAAGATAATAAATCATGTCTATGAGTAAAAAACACATGAACTCTAAGTGTGTATGATGTAGTGAGTGCCCCTAAGCCCTACACTCAGAATGAGGGAGAGATCAGAGTCAGATCGAGAAGGAGGAGAGGACAGGTGTACTCTTTGAAATGTGTGTGTGCGCGGGTGAGGGTGTGTGTGTCTGCCTTCTGGGTAGGTTACAAATAGAAGACAGAAAAAGGTGAGGACGAATGGAGACACGAGGAGAAAGGACTTGGGGCTAACGGATGGAGACAGACTATTGTTTCATATGTTGCTGCCATTAATTACAAAATGATTAGAGCTTCAGCATTTAGCACAGTACACACAGCTTCAGCTCCAAGCACGTGATTTAAAGCTGGAGAGGATTCTCCGTGAAAAGGGAGAATCGGACAGAATCTCCACTTTGTGAATCGATTACTGAGAGTCGAGCTCAGCCCATTTTCCATGGACTTGAGTGAAGAGGAAGCGGCAGAGATGAGTGAATGGATGAATGAGGAGAGACAAAGAACGACAAAGAGTCTAAAACGGCGGAGAAAGACATGAGAAGTTGAGCCTTTCATAAAGTGCACAGCTTATGAAACCAGATAGCCCTGAAATGTGAGTGTGTGACCACTCTGTGGCCTCCAGGTGTGTGTGTGTGTATGTGTGTGTGTGTGTGTGTGTGTGTACGGCTGGCTCCAAGTCAAAGGGCAGATTTTGGTAGCAGCCACACCCACCCTTCAAGGGACGGTATCTCTGCTCTTTCAGACGAACACAAATGAGTGTGTGTGTGTGTGTGTGTGTGTGTGTGGCGCAGCTGTGCCGTGGTTTGGCGCTGACGGAGCCAGCGAGGATCCTTGAACTGGAAAGATGAGAATGTCCTCGAGAAGGCTTCGTCAAATGTCTCATTGTCCCTCCTCAGCCGCCACACACACACACACACACACACCAAATATTACAACTCCATCCCTTTCTGTTCTCTCTGAGCGGTGAATGTGCTCTGGCATATTGCAGTTACCGGTGTACTTCAAATATCAAAACTTTTACACACACACACACACACACTCACAAGTTAAGACTGGAATGCCCAATGCTGCTGGCAGACTTGTCTCAATATAAAACAGGGAATAAAAAAGAGAGGAAAGGTTTCTCTTCCTCTTGGCAGAAGGGAGAAGCTGACACCTTGAAGTCTCTCTGTCTCTTTTTGAAGGTGAGACTATTCCCTGTTTCCTTTCCCATTCTCCTGCCTCCTTCCTTTCTTTGCCTTCCTCATTAGTTTATGGGCAGAGCTGCAATTAGGACAACATTGTTTCAGAGCTGGGGGAAGGGGGGGGGAGGAGAGAGGAGACAGTGAGGGAGGGAGAGAGGTAAACAAGAAATAAGAGTTGAAAGAATGTGACTGGAGAGGAGATGAGGAGGTAATTAATGAAGCTGCTATAATTACTGGGGCCTGTTCACGCCAACTAGACAACACACACACACACACACACACACGGACAAATTACACTCACCTTTCCACGGCATTAATCTACTATGACTATTTAAAATGCTGGCCATGTGCGTTAACTAATGACACAAGCTGTTTCCCAGCCCATCGTACAGGACACACTAACTTATCCACCATGTAGACATTGTTGACAAAGATTATGTTTGGTTTTTTTCAACCAGGAAAACATGAGAAAATGCAAATGATTTAACCTTGCACGGTCTTCTCTTGGCAGGTCGTTTGACAAAGAGCAGATTGTTATGGAAGAGGACGAAATGATGATGAGACAGGTGAAGGGTGGAACGTTTTGAGAGGGAGAGAGGGGGGAGTAACAGAGAGAAGAGACTCCGGAGGAGTTTAAGATGGGGTGTAGGAGAAAAGAAAAGAATAAGATTTTAAAAGGATACAAGGAGAGAGGAAAAAGGCAGCAGGGGACAAAGGATAGGACAAAGCTAAATGAAAAAGGAATAAGAGTAGAAGGACAGCAGGTTGCGAGATAAACAAAATCGGCAGAGGACAGATTCATCAGGAAGGAGAGGAGGCAAGGAAAGAGTAAAAAAGAAAAGGAGGGAAGGAGTTGAGGTGGGTGCGATGGGGACAAACCAAGGTGGAACTCTGATGATGCTAAATTTGGCAAAAGGAGAAGACGTGTGTGTGTGTGTGTGTGTGTGTGTGTGTGTGTGTGTGTGTGTGTGTGTGTGTGTGTCGCGAGACTTGCTGAATCGGCCATGGTTCCAGTTTCACGCCTCTGAGTTTGACACAGGGGGAGGGAGAAAGAGAGAGAGGGAGAAAGAGAGAGAGGGAGAGAGGGAGAGAGAGAGAGAGAGAGGGTCCCTAGCCGGTAATGTTCCCTCAGGGCGGGCGGACGACAGGGTGGAGGGATGGAAGGAGGGAGGTTAAGGGAGAGGAGGAAGAGGAAAAGATTTATACCTACCTTTGCAAACACGCCATGGCTTTATGGTCTTTTAGTGAAGTCAGCATCCTTTACTGATCACAGTGATATAGGGCTGCAAACTAGCCTGGTAACCACACATCCCTATATTTATAACATAACAATCAACCAGGCTTGAGTCGCAGCGGGTCAAGATTATATTCAGTAGGATTGGGTCTTCACATGGCGCCATTTTGTTGCTGCTGACCTCAGGTCTGTGTGTCAATGTGTCTTATAACGATTGTGTTTTGGTGCTGCTGGTGTTCTCCAATTCAATCGAACTGTTCAGGTTACCCATGTTTCCAATTTGGTTGAATGTTTCCTGTGGGTTGAGTCTCTTTCTATTGGAACTGTATTTATACAAATGAAACTAAATGTTGAATGTAAAAGTTCTTAGTTTTCTGCTTTCCAGTGCACTCATTTCCTGCACGGTAATGACCTGAAACTAACGAAGCTTATGGTATACGTTGTGGTACTCTTGGCACTAAGTGTTTTTGAGATGTGTTAAACATTCAAAGCCATTGTCATAGTTCTCATACCCCTGACCTCAGTATGAACCTTAGTCCCCACAAATAACCCCCCCTGAAGCCCAACAAACACACAGAAATGATTTGCATGTGTGTGTTTCCTGTACAAGCTCTTTACATACACACCATCGCAAAGCTACCTGACTCTCGCTATGCAAAGCATTCGCTGTTCATTCCTCGGAAAACAGAGTACTCGGATACCTCGACGTCTCTGTGTGTTTGTTGGCGTCTGCAAAATCTTTCTCTCTGTGCATTTAAGCTCCAACTTAGCTCAAATGCTTCTCTCCTTAGGCAAAAGAGGAAAGTGTGTGTGTCAGCGTTGAGGTGTGTGTGTGCTAATGGACATCTAAATGCTGCTGATGTTACGTTGAATAGTTTAAGGGCCCTCAGGTCCCCTTAGACCAATATTGGGAGAGAACAAGTGAGGGAGCGAATGTGACTTCTGCAAATCGCTTTGACAAGGACACCCGCGCCTCGAGCGGCGTCCTCTTTCGCCTCATCGAACACACACACACACAAACACACACACACACACACTGCGACATCCACACCTCAGCAGAATCGTGAGGTGACTGTTGCGCTCTGAACAGCTGACTTGGTAGAGGACGTCTGTGTGAGCGTTGTGCTGAATCCACTTTTAATTCAATTTAGAAAGTGAGCTAAGTAACAGTTTGATGATGGGATTCTTAATATTTGTCCCAGGCAATATATCTTTTTTGAAAAATACAAATCAATCATATATAAAAACCAGACTAACCTCAAAGTCGTTGGCCTTGTTGTAGTGCATGTTGAGCGCCCTGAAGAGCTCGGAGTCACGGCCCACCGCCAGCTCGTCTGTAGAGGTCACCCCCTCGTTGATAGACTGCCGGGCGAACTTCTCCATCTGAATGTAGTAGAACTCCCTGAAGTTGCTGAACCACTTGATCAGCTGGGAGGTGATGCATCGATTGAACTGAAGTCAGAGAAAGAACAGAATCTGTTTTATTAGAGGTTACATGTCTCTGCCGCTGAATGCTGCTTCCTGTTGGTGCTGCACATTCATTTGCATGGTGGTATTTCATCTAATGTGACATGACCTGAATCCCTATTTGACTGCTAACCTTGGATTATGACACATAACCATAACTATATTTGTGTGTCCTTGAATAAAACCTTAATTTACCCTAAATTGTACATTTTTAACAAAGTCCACAAACGTATATTTGTTCTCATGTGGGTCTCTGTTTATACAAAAGTATCCCTACAGTTAACACACAGTTAAGAATACTCCATATCCACCTCATTAGACACTAAAAGGCTGTCTGCACCTTGAGGGCTCCTTGTTGTGAAATAAAATGATAAATAATCGGCCTCTGGAAACCTTCCTATAATCAAACAAGAATGACCCAAATATGATCTTATTGTTACGCCATCATGGGCTTCCAGACTAAGCTGAAGCAACATTAAACGGCTCTCATTAAACACTGCTCTTGCCCTGCAGGCCTGGACAGTACAAGGCAAAGGACCTCTGCCAAATTAAGACATTTAAGCTGTTTTAAGCACACAGAGCAAAGTAAGGCTTTACAATTCTGATTCATATATATTTCATTTAAGTATATTTCAACAAAGTGATCTGAAACGGCTTGGATCAAACCACATACAAGTACAAAAGCAAGACACTTAGTGCACATCATTTGAATTTGCACTGGAAACAAACGAGGTCCCAGGATGCAGATTTTTCAAAACAAAATGTTATTTTTTTGGTTGTAGTTTGTATGAATGAGGGACAGACCTACAAGCAGATATTTTCTAATTTAAAAATCTCATTTAAAACTGACAACCATCTAGAATTCAATGACTCTATTCATGCGCCTGCGTATCTACTCACTCATCTCGTCCTCATAAGAAACGGAACGTGGAGAGAAAAAGTGCCCAGTGAAAGTGTGTGTATGTGTTCGGTGAAGGGGAAAAACGGCTTTGATACGGAGATTAAGCTCGGTATTGTTACAAGACATTGTCTCACAGGAACAAGGGATGAGCGAGAGAGAGATGAATAGAGCGAGGCAGCATGGAAAAATAAATGCAGAGAGAGAGAGAGAGAGAGAGAGAGAGAGACTAGCATAGGAGGACGGTGAGGGGAAGGGATATTTTTTTCAGGAGCGGTCAGAGGGGGTGACATAATGGAGCATAATTGGGAGGCTTGGAGTGTGTGTGTGTGTGTGTGTGTGTGTGTGTGTGTGTGTGTGTGTGTGTGTGTGTGTGTGTGTGTCACAGCAGAAGCAAAGGGGGTTTGCAAAGCATATTGGAAGCAGGGGGAAATTGTGTGTGTTGGGGGGTGTTTTGACCCACAAAAGAGTTTAACCTGATAACTATGTAATTAACACACAAGACGATGTCATCCGTATGATCTAAAACCATAATGAAAACCTCTGACACGCAAAGAGAAGATCATACAAATACTCAATCTATCCCCTCAAAAAACTCTGACATCTGCTCTCATAGAAATAGAGCTCTAACACACTTGTGTTAATTAATTTTCAAAGATGCTTTACCAGAGATATTAGAAGATATATAGCAGGGAATTCTACCAATTCACAGAAATAATGCTAAATATCTGTAAAAGGTGCCTATACTAATAAGTCAAGTCTAGTAGGAAATATGATAAACGTATAACATATGTTCAGTCCTGCTATACAATGTGTATTTAATTGCAACGGGAAAACTGATATTATGCAAATTCAAGACCGGACCCCCAGGTGCATACTCTATGAGCTGCAACATATGACTTATTGAGTGTGGACGTAGCTTAAAATCTCTTACAGTGGGGTGTTTCTCAAACTGATAGCTTAACTTTGAAAATGCAGATATGTCAGGAATGCAGACAAACACCCAGCCCTCCCACCACCTGCCCTTCCACCCCCCCACCCCCCCCCCCCCCCCCTTCCTGCCCCCACTGTCCCGTCCAGCTCATCACAATCAGCGCAAACCAAAAGGACGAGAGACAAAAGACAGAAAGATAATGGAGGCGGGGGGGGGGGGGCAAAATGCTGAGCTTGAGGAATGCCATTTTCAGTTTACAACGAAAAGAGGGAAAGGGAGAGTGTCAGAGAAAGTGTCAGGACGCCTCCCCCCCCTTTACTTGATGGCGGTTTTGTCAGCCCCCCCCAGGCCATGTTGGAAGGGCAAACACACATCCTTTAAGAATCTGCCCACTTCAAGCAGAATCGCAGTAGCTCGGCAGATTTGATAGAGGACAATGTGAATGTGCACGCTCAACACAAATCTACAAGTTGTAACACTGAAGGTTTCCTGTGGATCCTGGAAGCATCGCTGCTGTAGGAACTGTTTTCCACTCATGTTTTGGGGGGTTTTCTGCTTTAGTGGACAGTATACAGCAGGGGAGTGTGAAGAGGTGAATTCAGTGTACAAAACTCCTATTATACAGAAGTCATATCTCAAAGTAGTTTTTGAAGTTGTGTATTGTTACTAGAAGAATTATCATAATGAAAAAAATACACATTTCTTGCCTCTGCAGATTCACTGAAGACATCATTCAGATTCTAAATTCTTCGTCACTCTTCCACATCGTCATTTCTTATGTCCAGTTAAATCCGTGTGAGTAGATTGATACTGAGCTGTTGCGGTTTCATGTCGTCATGTTGCCAAATTGGCCGTGTTGCTCTAATTGACAAGACGGGTGAGAGGCGGGTTGGACGCTAATTGATTCCTGCTGAGACGACGGCAGTGAGATGTCATTTCAGCCTCTTAAGGCGAGAGTCTTCAGGGCTCTCGCTGATCAATGTGTCACTGCCTCGCATTCCGTGTGTGAGTGTATGTAAAAAAAAAAAACCCACCCTCAGCTGGCAGGGAACTTGTGTCGGAAGGAGTTCCCTGAGCGAGCAAGCGTCTAATTAATCCTAACTCCTCCAGTCTTAACGAGCTCTTAATTACTCTCACTGGCTCTCTGAAGACACCACGGCAGAGACCGTAGCATCACACACACACACATATGATTGTCTGGTCAAGAAGGCAAGAGCTTTCACTGCTCAATTAAGACGTGTGTGTGTTAGTGTGTGTGTGTGTGTGTGTGTGTGTGTGCTCGCTCATCTGTGCCTAAAACAGTTGTCAGCTCAACCCACTTCCCACAGCGAGCGAGCAGCCATTGTGTGTAAGAGGCTCATCTTTAAGAACCAGTTTCCCATAGACAAAGTCCATTCAAGTCCAATTAGGGGAAGCCATTCAGGGCTCTAATTCCCTTACAGTGAATCTGCCTGATCCCCCTAACACATGCTACTTATTGTTCCCTGGGAAGGAGGTGGGGGGGGGGGGGGGGGGGGAGGAGGAGTAAGAGAGGAGGGTGAGAAAAAGAGGGAGAAAGAGACATTGACCCGGATTTTGGAAATATGGTAATGATGAGTGCAAAGGGACAATGAAACAATACTCAGACAGACAGCAACAGGGTGCACACTCTCACTCACACACACACGCGCACACACGCACACACACACACACACACACACACTAAGGCAGCCTTGAAAAGAACAGCCTCACACATTACAAATAGGATTATGCATGATTCATTTTTTTATTAAAGAAAATATAATATCTGCAGAGTTCCTCCCACTGTTAAACATGGTGGATTAACGGGGATTACGACTCAATTAAAACTCAATTTGAATATAAGCCGTTATTTGCATAAAATGTCAATAAGAAAGCTATCATTTCTTAAAGGATACGACTTGTTCTGATTGTTAACAACTCCTATGAATATAACAAAATCAACAATTTAATGAGACTACTTTTTACATTAATGAGCCACACTGTCGCACCAGGTGACATGTTCCTTCATTTTGTCGAACACAAACGTTCCTTTTGACTCAATCTCACGCACTGTTGTAAGTATTTACTAAAGAAACAAATGTGTATACTTCATGTGAAAATCGGTTGCACTTTGGTAAAAGTAACATCACAGTGTTAACTGAAATGTAACGCATACAGTAAGTGTTGAATAACAGACTGAGAAGTTAGCAACAAATTGAAAAACGAATAGTAAATCAGCTTCTCTTTGTCCAAGGCTCACGTTTAGCTGTCATTCCGTTTGCTGTAAGTCCTTAATGCTTAGACAATACATTCCAATAGAACAACGTTTTCATTTCAATAAATCCCACTGTTTATGTGGATGTGATCCAGCCTGTAATGCTGTCCATCTGCTGAGGGAAGTTTCTGTCCAAAGCACTGCAAACATGTCCTAATCTTAATCCATGTTTGTGGTGATGAGGGAGATTCATTTAATTTCAATGTAATGATAAACCTACAGATTGGAAATAACATTCATTTTAAAGCTAATATCAATCTCAAAAAGATAAACTCATAAACGGATTCTATGCATTAATGTGATAGTAATTTATCATTTCTAATTCACCTAAAACCACAGATTATTTGTCCACTACAAAATGAAGTATACTTTCTCACATAATTTTACAGGAAAATGACTAATTTCAATACATATTTCTTTAAATCTTGATATTTAGAAGATAATAGATATTCCTTTACTTTCAGTCTTTAAGACACTTGCAAGATTGCTGACAGACCTTACCATCATTCTCACTTAAATGATAATTTCACGGGAAACATAATGGGACTTTTTTTAAAGAAGTTTCTCACCATGGTTTATGAGGATGTAATACTGCCTGGACACTGTGACCCCTAACGGCCCACATTTCTACCACTTAATGGACTCCGAGTCACACACGCATGCACTGGGAGCAGGTAGACTTAGCAACCTTGTGTATGCCTAGCAACCTGGTGTCCCAGCGACCCTTGTTGCCATGGCAGCAGATCAGGATGTGGCACTGCCATGAGGAAGTGGTCACCACAGATATGAGCTAAAGGGCAGCTGGTGTGTGTGTTTGTGAGTGTGTGGAGCTGCTCATTTGAATAGAGCGTCCTGAATCCGCCGAGGAGCCGTATGCTCCTTTACAAAACACACAGCAGCCTGTAAACACGGAACAATCAGCGCCTTTGTTTTAAGGCTGTTGTTCTGTTGTCATTCCTATCATTTGTTTGTCAAACACCCCCCCCCCCCACCCTCTTGTCCCTCTGTCATTTTCTCAAAAAAACTCACGCACACATACTGTCCATCATGTCCTTTTTCCTGCTCATTAGTTTTCCTTGTCTTGCCATTCACTCACTGTTAATATATTATATCAATTTTTACCCATAATACCTACACAACTTTTCTTGTATAAATGCTTTGATGATTCGTCTTGTCCACAGGTTTAAAAAAAGGTTAAACTTCTCAGTCTATATAACTGAGAGTGAGAGTGAAAGTGTTGTGTGTGTGTGTGTGTGTTGGGTGAAAGAGGTCTGGAGGTTGAGGCCGGTGTGTGTGTGTGTGTGTGTGTGTGTGTGTGTGTGTGTGTGTGTGTGTGTGTGTGTGTGTGTGTGTGTGTGTGTCTGTGTGTGTGTGTGTGTGTGTGTGTGAGAAAGTGGGCGGTAACACACCCCCACCCCCCCCCCCCCAACCCCAGGACGATTAAGGCCAGAAACTCTAATTATGCTACAGAGACGTGACAGACTGGAGCACCCATCTGCGCTATAGGGACACACACACACACACACACACACACACACACACACACACACACACACAGAGTACCGGAAAAATAACACACATAACTGAATAATATCAGACATCAAAATGCATTAAAAAACAAACCCTTGTGAGTGTGAGAGTATCTGACGGTGTATGAAAGGTGGTGAGAAATTGTCTCAGAACACAATCATGAACAACAGAATCGCACTGTAACCGAATGCTTCAAAAAGACGCACACCTGTTTCCAACAGCTCATCTGCCCCATCTGCCACTGATTTTTGAGATCTGATTCTAAATATGCCATTGAATACCCATCGCTTCCATCAGGCTGACGGTGACAGCAGCATTTCCCATATCTTTTTTTGTATTTAAGAAAGAGTAGGAGCCACCATATCCTGTACATATCTTCTTACAATTGTGTACTAGCACATTGAGGCTCCATTGTTATCGCAATGCAAACATATTCTTTTTTTATATATACTTTTGATTATCAAACAGCAACTCAAGCTAAGTGTTTCCAACAATGCAGTTATTCCTATTCAGTTATTTGCACCCTAAACCATTCTGTGTCCATTCTTTTGTTGCGTTTCAGTTCATTTTTTGTGAGTGTGTCTTTCATTTAAAACCTTGTCTAGATTCGAACATGTATATATACATACAAATGTATCTCCTACAATATCTAAATAAATAATAACAGGTTATTCAGAATGAAAAGAGCAGTTAAGTCGCATTCAAAAGAACGTCACAGAAGAGAGACTTGAATAAAACTGAAAGTTGAAGGGGTGGAGGACAAAAATGTGAGGCTCATAAAAGAGAATACATGGAAGAGAAAGACGAAATAGAGAGGGCAAGTTCTCACCTTGACATCTGAGAAGAAGATTTTGAGCATGTTGGAGGAGGGGTAGCGGTTGAAGAAGAACATCAGCTTGGCCTTCTTCAGGTGGTTGGGAGACAAGCCCTCCTGAATCTGAATAATAGTTAAGGAAGCAAAGAAGTATTTTGGGAAAACACAGGGGGGACATTTTAACAGAAGCTAAAGTCAGGTATATCATCATAAAAATAAAAAAAAATTCCCTAAGTGACGTCATTATCCGCTTTATTTGCATTTTCTGTTCAAGTGATATTTTGGGAACATGGTCTTGAAAAAGGTATTTGGTGTTTTTCCATCCGTGCCTTCAAACCGGGATAAAATAGACATGTATACGCAAACAATGGATGAGTAGATAGAGAAAAGCTACGCTCACTGTCTTTTTTTTAAATTCAAATGAATTATTTAAAAGCAGTAGTGTGTGAGTGGCAGTGTGATTTGTGTAACTGCGGAGTGATTAGTGCCAGAGATGTCACATAGAGGAATGACCGGTCCAGTAAAACACAACTGAGAAACACCAAAAGCAAAGACGGGCTTTGGATCAAATCCCACATTCATCCCTGCATCTCTCCGCCTCTGCAATCCCCGTGTCTATCCCACTGTCTCAACTAGCACACATAATAATTGTGGTTGCGGAGAGTGTATGTGTGAGTGTTTATGTGACAACAGCTGTGCCCCACCACGCTGCCATTTCCCCACCACATTAACAGCCCTATAATCTATCAGAGAAGATGAGGCAATCAATGGAGCCCCCTGCAAGGTCAATTAGCACACAGGCAAACACACACTCCTACACACACTCACATACACATACAGGAACCCCAGGGGCCCTATAGTGCTGGAGAGAGGAACAGGGAAAGTGGGAGAAGGTGGCATCAACTATCGGGGAAAAGAGGGAGAGAATGGACATGAATAATCAGAAAGAGTCAAGAAAATGGAAGGAGGTCTCAAGGCAGTAAGCAGAGGATATGATTTGAGGGATTATGGTGAAATATTAAGATCATATCCAACACAAAAAGTCATGGGTGTTGTTACGCATGACCATGGCACCACATATGTGTCTCAGTAAATGAAGCCACAGGTGAGCCGTATTGTCATCCATCATTCATTCAGCAGCGGCTAGGCCAGGTCACCGGACAACAACACCATCACCTAGTTAACATTCATGTCAACCTGTCACTATCTGTGTGTTTAGGCCACATAACACACTGTGTGCACTTCCTGTCTTGTTTTCTGTGGACGCACACACACACACACAAACTAAAGCACAGGAACAAACACACCGAAACACAAAAAAGGCACTCGGAGTAAACCAATTGAAGCAATATCATAATGAAAAAAGGCAATAACATGTGGCGTGTTTGTGTATTTAACATGTGTTAAAGTGAGTCAGTGAATAAACAATCTTTTTCATCCTCACCCTCACTCTTTCCAATAAGTGTGTGTGTGTGTGTGTGTGTGTGTGTGTGTGTGTGTGTGTGTGTGTGTGTGTGTGTGTGTGTGTGTGTGTGTGTGTGTGTGTGTGGGTGTGGGGGGGGGGCATTGGGAGGGGAAGAAAGGGAGGGGGGATAAATTCATAAATGAATGGGGGACATCTGCTCGGCTCTGTACAAAGGATTAAAGATACACAGACCTGAGAGTGTGTGTGTGTGTGTGTGTGTGTGTGTGTGTGTGTGTGTGTGTGTGTGTGTGTGTGTGTGTGTGTGTGTGTGTGTGTGTGTGTGTGTGTGTGAGTTCCTCTCAGGTGAATAATCAATGCTAACCACCTTAACCTAACTGCCAGGCTTCTCCGAACCCTAAATCCTTCCACAATGCCGTCACAATTGTATCCCTAGCATGCACAATTATTCATTCTTAATCTAGGAGCTGATAAATAGACAGAACAAGATACAAGTGAGAGAGATAGAAATTCAAAAATAAATATGCATACCTTTTTTTTTTCAAAGGTAACAGAACAGGAAATTGTTGTATAGTATATAGTATATGTAGTTGTATGTTGAAATGTTACGTTTTTGATCAAATACCAATGAATCTAGCATGTTCTCGAGACACAGTTGATGCCAATAATGCTTAAGAGTGTTTACATTATAAAAAAGAACTATCTGTTGATTGACATATCATAACATAACTCAAATCAAATATACTTCCTTATTAATTAACATGTGCTTACTGTACATGGTTCCGTCCTGAATTGAAAAATAGTCAGGACTGCAAACGCTATCGTCTTTTTGAATTACTTGAATAATCAATTGATTTAAAAAAAAAATAGTAAAATAAAGCCTGTCAAATTATTCGTTTTTCTCGACCAACAGTTCAAAAGTCAAAGATATTCCAATTTATAATAATTGAAGGAAATCCAAAGAAGTTTTCTGTTTGTTGAATAATTTTAATAACTACTATAATTGTCATTGACATTTTTGCCGATTCATTTCCAGTCCATCAACATCAATACAGGACTAACTGTATGATCATTTTTGTCCATTTTAGATTTTGTTACCTTCAAAATAAAATAAAAAGTCGGCTCTAAGGATGGTCAATATCTTTGAAATACTAATGTCCAATTTCAAAGACTTTCTTCCAAATGAATAGAAAAGCATTTTGGAATGAAACGGCTTTGCAGGATCAAGAGACGTGTCAAATATTTCGTTTTTCTAATTAAAGCGACATCTAAATTGGCTTTGAAGACGACACTGTGATCACATCCTCATCACAGCTGCAAGGAGTTCCTATTTGTCAGGTTCAAAGTCTTATTTCTCTTTTCACTTTGTTCTTCAAGCGTGCACGTGGGTGTGTATGTGTGTGTGCTCGAGTGTAAGTGTGTGACATGGAGAAGCCCTCTCCATATGAAAGGTTAGACACGAAACAGCTACCTGCAAACACCTGTCCACACTCTATGAAAGGGTGTGTGTGTGTGTGTGTGTGGGCGTGCACTGTGAAAGGTAGCAAACAGCTGCCGAGCAAAAGTCCAACAATTGAAAGATTAACAGCTAAAAGGAGACAACCAGGTAAAAAGTGTAAAGATATTACACTTCTCATTATGTATGCTCACATAAAAAACCGAAACACACACGTTTAGAAAGCTTCCATCAATCAAACATTCACCTGTTCCTCTCCGTGCTCTTTGAAATATGATTAGCTTTGAGCTCCTATGAACAAGGTCTTACCCCACACCCACACGTGGACAAGTGAAATATGATTTGCTTTGAGCGTTTATGTACAAAGTCTGTAATGCTGTTAGGTTCTCTTTCATCACAGAGTGTCTCAGACAGTGTGTGTGTGTGTGTGTGTTGAAGAGGAAGCTCACTAGCCTTTCTCAGCGTTAAACAACACAACCTGCTGCCGAGACTTAAAAGAGCTCCAGAGAGCAGCGTGCGACCTGTTTAATCTTCCCCCTCTTGCACGACCCACCGCGGCCCTTTTCATCTTCCCCGCTAAGCGAGGAAAGAAAAGGGTTAGACCAGGAACAATTCATGCAGGTTAATTGATATTACAGACGTTCTTTGACGGCCGCCTGCTGCTGCCTCTAAGATGTCTAAGACACTGCGTTTCAAATGTGACGTTTGTGGATTAGGGAAATAAAATCATTGCCTATTTAAACTCTTTCCAAATGATTTTACGGATGTTTTTTATACCTAAAATACCTAATGTACCTTCATTTCATCTCTGAGACCCAAACCTAACGCAGGACTAAAACCTTAATATGTAGAAGATAACACAAGCTTTAAAACAAATTGTAAATGCAACACAAACATGTACTCTCATTCGCAAACACAAAGGGGCAGTGAAAAGGATACGGTGCTGCCAGAGTAGGGCGATATGTCAGACATGTCTTGAAGGTCCCCACACTCAGACTTGATGAGGGACAGGGACAGACCCTCCGGTGAGTTCTGCCGGTGGTGGTGGTGGTGGTGGTGGTGATGACTGAGATGGCTCCCTCCGAGAGATGCCATTTTGGTTCTGAGGCTGAGAGTTTCCCTGGTCATGTCCATAGAATCGGGGGAGGACCGATGATGGTCCTTGGGCCCTTGAGGGTAGCCGGCTCCACCCCCGTGTGAAAGAGGGCTCTGAAAGGGATACCCCATAAGGGGAATAGGGAATGGGTGGCGAAAGGATGGAGGGCTAAAGCCGAGCGAGGCGGTGAGGGGAGAGGGGTGAAGGGAGGGATGGTGGGAAGGATGGTGAGAAGGAGGAGGAAGAGAGGGGTGAGTGTTGTCTCCCCCGCCGCTCTTGCGCACCACCAGGGGCAGAGCCTCTGTCTGGTCGCTGGGCATGGGCACCCCACTCAGTCTGCCACTCAGACCCCCGAAGGAGTCCAGCGGGCTGGGGATGATAACGTCTCCGAAGCAGTGCAGCCTCTGGTTGGAGGAGTGGTAGTTAGTTGTTGGGCTCCCGTCCCCGTTCAAACTGAGGGCCAGGGCGCCAGCGCCAAAGCGTGAGTCTGGGGTGAGGGAGGGAAGGGGGCAGAAAGGTGGGGGACAGGAAGAGGACGAGGTGGAGGAAGAGGAGGGTGCAGCTGGTGTGCTGCTGTGGCAGCCGTGGTGACTGACAGCCTGCTTGGGCGAGGAGAAGCCTTTGACGACGGTGTCAACAACCTGCGACACGGCACAGTTCAGTTCCTGCTTCAGCGTCTCCGCTAACTGCCTTCCTCCTCCTGCTCCTCCTCTCCTCTTCATCGCACTTACTAAATTCCTCTCCACCTCCTCCCTGCTGTCCACATCCTCCTCCATTTCTCCATCTATCAGGGCCTGTTCTCTGAGGAGGGCTCGGGCCCGATCCAGGAACAGGCCTGGGTCCAGCTCAGACAGCTCCTGGTTGCTATGGCGCCCTCTGGCTCTGTGCCTCTCCTCCAAGCCGTCAGAGCGGATACTGTCCTCTGATAGGTTGCCGTCTTCATCTCTTTCTCCGCCTCGGTCAGCATCTCTGCTCTCGCCGTTCTCTTCATCTTCCTCTGTCTCTGAGTCGTAGATCTGGTAGAACTTCTCCTGGAGCTGACGCAGCTGTTTCTAAACAAACAGAGGAAAGAGAATGTTAAAGATGTCTCCTGAACCCAAATGTCAAATGTTACCACAAATTTGCCAAAAGATAAATGGAAATAGTATGTCACCCGCTCGGTGGGCTGATATTTTTTTAACTTTTTTTAGGTGCAAATTCAACGAGTAGGATGGAATTAAGGTAATACTTCAATCTGTGTTAATTTACGTTAGCCTTCTTTTAGATCATGAGAAGCAGGTCTTTTATAGTGCCTTTTTGCAACTGGTGTATGTGGTGCATTTTAGCAGAGTATCTACACATGACATATCTACCCATAATGTCTTCTACCAACCTGCATGTCCTCCAGCTGCAGTTTGAGTTGCCGTCTCTCCTCCTGCCTCTGCTCCTGCCTGGAGCACACTAGCTGGGTGAAGCATTGTTGTTGCTGTGGCAGCCGCTGCTTTCTCTTATTCTCCCGATAAACTTCACCAACGCTGACCACACCCCCCCGAGAACCTGGAGAGCTCAGGAGGGAGGAAGGCCCGTCGCTCCGGCTGTGGTTGTGGCTGCTGGTGTTGCGGCAGTTACCCTCTCTTCTGTGGCCATTACTGCTGTTACTGTTGATGCTGCAATTCTCATTTTCGCGGCTGATATCTTGGTTGTGGTCGCCGTTGGACCGGACCAACGGCGAGTGACTCATACCGCGGATGATGTTTTCCACGCGGGCACGCTTTGCGCGGAGATGCTCGTCCGACAGCCTGTCCAAATCAAAAGTGGAGAGGGAGAGGGGCTGAGAGGGAGCGTGGGAGTTGAGGCTTGAAGAAGGCAGTGGTCGCCCAAAGGAGGAGGAGGAAGGAGGGGGGAGAGGAGGCCCAGGAGAGAGGCAGTCAGACGGGCTGTCGCGGTCGCGGGAGGAGCTGCTGCAGGCGTCCTCGGCGTGGATCTCTGAGCCTCCACTGGACAGAGCTCCACTCCCCTGGGATGGAGGACAGGGGGAAGGCATTAATGATAGAGCACTGAATGGGGGTACAAATAGTGGCTGATAGGAAAGATAAGATGCAATGCTTATTCAATCTAAAACATGGTCATCTAAACTCACATATGGCTAATTGATGAATTGCCTTAACATGTCACCTCTACCTGTGTGTGTGTGTGTGTGTGTGTTTGGGTATACCTGGAAGCCTGAGTCACTCCCTCCATTCTTGCCCATGTTACTCTTCAGTAGCTGAGAGATGATGGTGGCACCAGGGAAAGGCATTATGGCGTCTTCGTACGAGTTGGCCCTTTTAAGCAACTTCCTCAAAACATTGGACTTCTCCCCGTCACTGTTGGAGCCGCCATGTCCGCGACTGACTAGAGAGCAGTCTCCGTCCTGATCGTGGCCGTGTGATTGGTTCATGCTTTCGAGCAGGGTCTCCCTGGCGCGGCTGAATAATGCACTAGCCACAGTCCTTTTCACCCCAATGTCGACACGTCGGCGCTTTGTCTGTGTGGTTAAAAGGGTGTTGCTGTCATGATCAGGCATCACGCAGGGCAGCTAATCGGACATGGCCAAGGGTCCTCGCAGACACGCAGGATGAGAAGAGGCACCTGGTTAAAACAAATAAACAAAAATTGCAACGTTAAAAAAATGTTATACCACCTCAAAAGTGGCATTTAGAGAGAAGCAGAATTATTTAAATGTTAAGCTATATTTTTAACTCAATAGCTGATCTCTACAGAAAGAAACATTTTAAATATATAGTTTGAATTATGCAAAACTCTAAAGCTGTTAATTTATCAGAATCATTACAGAATCATTCCAACATAACATTAACAGAGACTACTATGGACAATGTGTTTTTCTTCCAAATAATTGTATAATAATATTATGTTTAACCTTTTGCACAGAGTTGACAATAACTATCTTATATAAAAATCACCAACTCTGAACCATTCTTATCCATCTCCAAATTCACAAAATGACAATTGTAAAGCAGACAAAAAGGGAACCACTTTGAGAGTAGAAATTCCCAGGAAGGAGTAACACCTGGCTGTAAAAAAACAAAATGATATCCCACTTCCGCCTCGTCCCTTGAGAGGTAACCTTGATTTCAGCTTCTTGTTAGGAGCTGTGAAGAATCGACAGGTCCTCTCTTATTGTCAGAGGGATTTCACTGCACTCGCAAGAAAAAGAAAACTGTGTGTGTTTGTGTTTCAGAGAGATTTCTTCACATGATAGTAAATTGGTTGTTATTGTAAAATGTTTTATTCTATTTGAGGCTTAAAAAGCTCTACATACTTCAAATGAAAAGCTAGGGTCATTTTTCTGTCAGTGAATATATTATTTGTGTAGAGAAGCACAGTGCACCTCATAAAGGTTAGGTTTCTTTGTCGATGCTCTGGAAACACTTCAACTATCTTGTGGGAAATATTGAAACGCCGGCTTACTTCCCCACAGGCTAAAGCTCAATTCTCTGTAAAATGTAATTCCCCTTAATTTAAGATTCATTCAAATGGAAGTAGACAAAACAAATCTAAAACGCGTTGCCAAAAATACGCTTTTGCAATCTTAAAACACACTGACGGAGGAAGTGGATATCTGCTTCCTTCACACATGCATACAGGCAGCGTTTTCCATGTTACATGTTTGCATCTGTTTTGCAAGTGATTTCAGGGTCAGGTCTAGGGAAATATTTTACAAATGAAAGCTGCTCCTACAACAGTTTGGTAGAGCTGTGCCTTTGTTCACTGGAATTTTGGCGTTTTTATTCCACTATTAGAAAATGTGAAAACAAAAACAGCAGCTCAACTCCGATTTTAAAGAAAGACACAGAACTAATAGGAGACACTTTTGCAAAATCGACAAAGCAGACACTGTTCCTGCCGGGCCATTACCAAATGAAATAGTTTCTAAGCAGAGGAGAAGGGTTGTTTGAATGTGACTCGGAGTTTTAGTGTTGCAGACGAGAGGTGTTCAGAAAAACACTCAGCGGCCTCAGCACAGTGCCCAGCAGTGACCCAGATACACACACTCACACAGAACATGCAAACACACTATCTGTTAGCGTGATTGGTTCCTCAGCATTACTGTGGGCAGAGGTCTGGCCTGTGCACACACACACACACACACACACACATACACACACACACACACACACACACACACACACACACACACACACCACACACACACACACACACACAGTTTAGATTAGGGGGTCCAAAGAGCTTGGAGACTTGGTTATTTGGAAACGTGTGTTTGAGGTCAATTTGAGGGGGCATCAGTGGGAAAACAGCTAATGTTTCATGTTTGCATTCGTCAAACCTTCACCTTTTCTGAGAACATATTATCTTATATAAATCTAAGTTTGTCTACTTATCAAGAAGTTTAAATACCAAACACACTAAGGTTTGAAGTTGAGCACTGAAAGCAGATGTGAGAGTATGTGTGTGTGGTTTCGGCACTAAAACTGAAACTGTCATTCTAATCTGAATTTAAAGGGCAGGAATACGTTGCAATTGAGAACTGAAATGGGAAGTAACTGATGTGTGTGAAGTGTAAATGACTTATTTCCATTTAAAGGATGAACGTGTGTGGTGTTGCTAGATTCATTTCTCTTTGGTGATATTTGTAATTCTAACAAACACAAACTCACTTTAACAATTGTTTTTCTTATCTGCTTTTATGAATACTTTTAGCTTACAATAATATCAACATAATTGTATAACTTTTGGTAAAAAGTGTAGGTCATAATTTGTTCACCTTTTACTTCCTATACTTCATCTATAAGAGGAACTACATACCCAGGTTATTACAACAGTGTAAAGTGGATTATACTTGTGCGCTTCAGAGTCTGACAGAAAACACAAGCTGATCACTTTGCACGGCAAATACTGAGCGATGTTTGCCATAGTCCGAACAACAATTAGACATGCAAACATTTCCAACTGAACATGCCCTTCATTCTTCTATGATAACGTTTTAAAAATGATGAAGAGCTGTGCCAATAGAAACAGATAACGTCCCTGGTTTCTCTTGTTTTAGCGAAATTGGCGGACCTCTCTCGGAAGTACAGATCATTAAAATAAAACGTGTTGAAGACATTCATTTAAATGAGTCCACTGACAGGATTCCTTATTTGCTTTCATTTGTGAAAGAAGAAGGATTTTAAAGCTAACCTCCTAAATACTGAATGACTTGGTAAGCAGCAAAACCATAAAAACAAGAATTGCACGGACTCCAAAAGCAACGGCAGGTGCGTAAATCCAAGCGACTTCTACAAACTGGAAAGGAAAGTAGCCGTGAACTAAAAGTCATTTTAATTTTAAAACAAACTTTGATCATAGATTGTGTTTCACGCAATCTTGTGTAGCCTATACTCGTCAAGAATCACAAGCAAAACTAACGCGCCTGAAGTCAACATGAGCAGAACCAGTTTCGGAAAACAGTCCAAAATTCAACTGCGCCCTGTGAATCCGCAATGCGCGGCGAGGGGGGACCGGCTCCTCCAACTCACCGAGGAAATAAAGTTCGAACCTCAAATCAGACACACTCAAACACACACAAGCCCATGAGTGACGATAATGGTAATAAATAAAACGTGTTTCGACTTACTTCTCTCTCGAGCGTTTCTCCAAGTCCGTCCGTCGAAGAAAGGGCGAACACAAGACACAGATCCGGACTCGTCTTTGAGATCAATGCCGTAATTTACTACGGCAAAGTGGAGACGTATGCGGAGCGTGCGCGCGCGGGCATGGGTGTGTGTGTGTGCTGGAGAGATAGACTCATAGAGAAAGTGTGTGTGGGAGAGATCGAGTGACAGAGAGTGAGAGAGAGAGATAGAGAGAGAGAGAGTCTGCTCTTGTGCGCCGCTCTCCTCCCGGGATGGGAAGTGTTTAGTATCGAGCGCACCCGGTCCGTCCGGCACTGTCTGCTCCTCGCGACTCCTGTTTTCCCCCTCTGAGCAAGACTCTCAATAAGAAACAAGAAGAGGCGCACATGAAGGATACGTGAAGACGCTGCGTCACAGGGCCCGGAGTGAGGTAACGACTCCACCTGACCAATAAGGAAGGGGGACCAGGGACGCTGGATTTAATTTATAAGGAGCCCTCCGAAAGCAGCGCAGCCAGAGCGGAGAGGGAGAGAGAGGAGAGAGGAGCATGGAGCGGAGGGTAACCCAAAGTCAGGTTCAACAAGCTTTCTCATTTGCGGAGAATCTTTGTAGATTACCATTTAACTTAAACTGGATTTTAGGGGCATCAATTATCCCTTTTTCTCTGTTGAAGCATGCCCTCATGTTTCTATGTATTTTGCAATGCCCAGTTGTGTGTACATATGACTCACCAGTCAATACAAATATCTATTAGATGTCATTGATGAATAAAGAGCCACTTTTATTGCTTGTGTGCATGCCTTTACTCAGTAGGCCTAGTACATTTACAACATTGCATGCAACTGTACGAATATTATATAAATATTTCTAATAAAAACAGGCTTTACATGTTTCTGTTTCTTTTCTTCCACCTTCTTTGATAACTTGTGTACGTCCGAAATTTCAAAAATAAATACATGTTGTGCTTTAATGAAGCCGTAATTGCCTGCTCCTAATTGGAAACGACGGTACGCCTCTGCGCGGAGCTCCAAATCAATCAAAGAAAGTTGTCTAAAGGCAGACAAATGAGCCGATAGTTCTGATGTGTAAAGACCCCTTTTCTCCAGAGATCAGAGTTCAGGAAACCTTGGAACTGATAGCGTGTCAGTGTTTTGCTCAAAGACACTTCCGCAGGAAGCTCTCCGTTATCCAGACTCACTAAAGACACCCAGAGATGTTCAGAATACACAATCAAAGGAATATGTAAATAATATTTCCACGTTGAAACAGTTTTGTATAAGATAACGTGCTGAGGCCTTTTGAGAAACCAGCAATCCACCATATAATTTAAATGTATAGCATTCTAATATAAGCTTTATTTGTCACAATTTATTTTAAGTATTTTAGCTTTTACATATACACCTTAATGGTTGCAGTGTTTACCGTGCACGTTCCTTCAGTATCAGGGCTCACAGATTACTCTGATTCACTTCATATGCGCAGGTAGAAAAATGTCAGAATTATTTCAGACTAGTTCACGACGGATCGCTTCATAAATTCATCTGTGTTCAACAGATGGTTAAAATGTAATTCACAAAAAAATGTATGAAGCGAAACATTTTCTTCATGAAAATGTATATTAACTTAGTAACATATCAGTTCAAATTCAGTGGTTTTCTTGTTTAGAACAGTTGGGAAATTTATTTTTGTATAATATTCTATATCTGACTTTGTTTAATACTAAAGAAAAACCTTACGGAAATAAAGAAAAGTGGAACTATGTCATGTCGACAATGTGGTATGATTTTTAAAAAGCGAAATTATTCTGTTCGGTGCATTTTTGTTGCATTGCGCATGCAGAGGTATTGTAGTGGTGTGCGGCACACATCATGAAAAAACGTATTACCTACATTAAAAAGTGTATTTGTAATTTAAACTTTTTTGACAGGAAAACATTTTTTTCCGGAGCATTGTGTTCCTCTTTCAAACGAGGTCATTCAAAATCGATACGGTATTTCAACATTATTATTCAATAAGAAATATCAGCGCAGCCTCTCAGACGATCAGCGCTTACCCCGCGTCTCTCCTCTTAACTCAATTACGCACGGGAATAATCGGCTTTTACAGGAAGTTATACACGTACTTTCCGGCTGTGCCGTGAGGTTTAATTTGCAGCAAAGACAAATATTAAAACACAGAAATAAAAAACATTTTTACCCCGAGGAGACAGCTGTGTGTTCCGTGCCACACAGGATGTCCTTGCACGCAGAAGCGAACAGGCCCAGTTTTTCTAATGATCGCCAATTATTTGGCACGGACACGGAAACTTCACCACAGCAGCACACGGAACTTTTCTAGCTGAAAAAGCTGTGACCTATTTGAGCCTTGGCGCCCTGGGTGATGCCATTTCGTAGTTTGGTAACTCCGCAATAATTGTGAACATTTCCCCTTTATATATCTGCAACGAGAGAGAGAAAATGCGCATGGTTAGAGAAGATAATAAAGGGCTACCTTACACTAAATGAGTAATGCACGTGAGCTTAACATACTTTATGCATTTTGAAAAAAAGCCTAGTTTCCTGAGTCTGAAGGAGGGGTGATGTGCATATACAGAGGAGGGGGCATATTTGCTTTTGATACAGTTTTTGCAGCTGAAAATGATAGGAATTCACAAAAACACTGATAAAAAAGAGGATAAAGCAGGATGATAAATAATCAATCAAAAAGAGTGGTATTTCATAAATATGTGCTTTTTGTGCTTTTCACATCATGGGTAGAAAATAAGCATATTAATGTTTAACTCTGTGACCGCCATGTGTTTACTTGCCCGATGAGCCGATGACCCCCACTTGTGTTTTTGTGTGTGACGTGAGAGACAGTGTGTGATACTCAATGAAAAACAGATTTGTGCACACACACACTTTGAGCCACTGTCCTTGCATTTGTGAAACACAAGTTGAAACTGTGGGAAAGTGAAAGTGTGTGTGTGTGTTAATGTGTTTTATGTTTCGGTCATGGCCAGTCACCCCGAACTGTCCCTACAGTTTACTCACCGACATCCCAGAGTGACCTTACAACCCAAATACCAACAGCCAGGTTTTTAATCAACCACCCGCTGCTAATATCATAGGATTGAACCAGACTGACAATCCAAACAAACGGCACACTACACCTCATGTTTAGATCACACCCTGAGGATTAGGGAGAGTTTTCCCACAAGAGAAAGGGATGGAAATAACACAGGTTTTAGCTTTGAAATTAAAAGCATTTCCCTCAAATACTTCTGACATGCAAATGACTTAAAAAACGGTTACTAGACTCCAGGATTATGTTTCTACACTTTTACCGTACTGTTCAGTCATATATTTTTAAGGAAGCTCCATAGGAATCTCATCCAAAACTAAAACTGTTTTCATCAAATCGTATTTTCACAATACGACGTGTGACTAAATGAGATACTCGAGACAAAGTCTTTTTTTTTCTCAGCCACCGGTGCTTTACTGTCATTTACCACAGGTTCAGTTTTATCTTGTAAGTCTTAAACAGTTTTATACCAGTTCCACTTTTCTGTTTCAACCATAGTCTTAAAAACACACGCACATACTGTAGCATCAGTGAGTCAAAAAAAAGTATCTTTACTTGAATCACTATGCAAATATACACTACTACCGGCAGTCTACTGCAAACGTTAGTCAAACGTTTAGTTCAATTTGGTTAATTTCTTCCAACACTGCTTGAATATACATGTCATTTATGTAAAAAAGCATTTAAAATCCCACGCAAGACACACTACAAGAGACAAAATTAGCCTGGACTTGGGTAGATTGGAAGTTTTTGTAAGAGCCAACATCTTCCAGCCATTAGTGAAGCCACTTATGAGGGAGCAGTGCCGTCAGGTAATGGTACTCAAAAAAACAAATGTGTCCTAATAATGCTTCAGTGCCAGGAAAAGTTTACTTTGCTACTAGTTTGACATTACATACAGAGTCCTTGCATGTGCAGACACACACTGAGATGTGTGTTTTATCACTCAGGATCATCTAATGCTGAGAAAGGAGACAAAAAGGGAATAATGAAAATAGGCAGAGAGAGGGAATAATGATAGGCTGGAGGTAAAGAAGAATGGATGCAGAGGTTTCTCTTTCTGTCTTTTCCTCCATCTGTCCCCCCTTGCTCTCCACTCTTTCTCTTTTTTTCCCCTTTTCTCTCTTTCTCCTCTTTCTGGTCTACTCTCTCTCCATCAAGATGCCATTATTCAGGACATTAGCGAAGAAGAGCTAAAAGCTCTCACTGTCGAGGAGGGTCCCAGGGTCCTTTCTGAGAGCTGTGACGCAAACACACACATGCACGCACACACACTTTGACTACAGAAGTAGCATATAGTGTAGGTGAAGAGGTAAAAGGTGGCATGGAGGTCTTATTGCAGACATTACCAGGCATCTAGGCTCCTCTACTCTCCTCTGTGGCAAAACACATGGACATTAGCACACACAAAGAAAAATGAACAGTGCTCGATAAAGCACATTTTGACACTCATCATCTTCTCTCTGTGCAGCTATCCTTTTCTCCTGACACTCTCACAATACCTTAAATAATGCTGAAAATTGCGTGGATGAATTAGGTCAGGGCATCGATGTGTGTGCTCTGGATAATGTGACGGCTGGCTGAGAGAAAATATGTTCTGCATTTAATCACGTCTATGTTGTCATAAACTTTATTCATTTAAAGTATCTCTTAAAGTAACATAGTGTCTTTGCTCCTGCCTTATTGAAGTAGTCCAAAATTAATTATTCTTAACAGCAGATGTGTACTTTTAAAATCAATTTTGTGCATTTATTATAGACATGCTGGTTCAATAAGTCAGCCCAAGATGTTACATCATCACTGCCAAGTATCCAAAACAAACCAAAGCCTTGAACGTTTTTGAAAGTCCACACACATCTCTCTATATGTTATATATCTGTCAAGGAGGTGACACTAAGTAGTTTCAGTGGTTGAGTTATGATATATATAAAAGTGCTTGTAATAGTTTTGAATGGAAGTTGAATGAGGATTGTATTAGTTGTCTGCACAGTGCTTTGATATAATGAACCATAACCCCATGAGCTGTTAAGAAAGAATATCATTTGTATTATTAACCACAGTTTGTGTTTGATTGAATGATTAAAGTTGTTTGGAATTGCTGCTTCAGCCGTTAAGGATCTGATATGTTCTGTTTGATCATCGGAAATTGTGTTTTGTTGACATTTCAGCAGTACAGCACAGTCGTAATTGTATTCCAGTAAACCTGCACGATAACTCAGAGGTCTGTTAAAGTTCATTTCTGTCATTAACTCACAAACTTGGCTCTTCAACTTTTCCTAATTATTCAATTTCCTGAGCTCAGGGACTTGGAGGATTTTCATAATTCATCACCCTCCTTTTCCCTTTTCTTTTTTCCGCCCTCCCATCACAATTACTGTAGTACAAAACCATCAAAATTATTCATCTGTTCCCTTTTTTCAATTTACTATTCTTTCTTTCAGTTCCTGTAATTCATGTGTTTTTTTTTTTTTTATCAGTCCTATGGAGCTCTACACTGCTCATGTATTTATTCATGCTTTTCTGCCTCTGATGGACGACATGGACGGAGCTGAATAGTGTGTGTGTGCGTGTGTGTGCGTGTGTGTGTAGCTCCGCTGTAGACCTCGTTCATTGTGCTGACTCTAAGGTCTTAATCTAGCCACTGCCATTACCGCTGCTGAGACCTCCAGCCTCCACCTCCCCTCTTGCCCTGATGTCGTGCCCAGCCACGGAGGCCCTTTAGTGGGCCGACTGGCAGGCCAGATCAGGGTCTTGGGTCTGGGGCTTGGCCCGGTTCCCTGGTCCTCCACCTCCGCCACCGACGCAGCCTTTAA